TTCGATTTCACTGTCTCTCTCCACATGGGTATGAAGGAAAACCAAGCAAGTAAAATCTTGATGTGACTATCAGTGTCTGCAGATGAATGACAGTATCCACCTGCATTAAATGATTGTCAAGTTTGGGACCTTACAATGTAGCAGCCCTTTTTTTTTTTAAAAAAAAAAAAACACCCACAAAAACAAACAAACAAAAAAACCCGAACAAAACAACACACACACACAAAAAACCCCACAACAATAACAACCCCCCCAAACTATATATCCAACGCAATAAAACTGTATCTTGATTAAAACTTTGAGATGCTAATGTAATAAAACTATAATTTGATTAATTTATGCCACAATTTACATGGAATGAAAAGGCTATTTTAAATTCATGCAGAAAATAGACTAAATGCCACTTACAGCCTGTCTGCTGTCAAAATATCCTTTGTGTTTTGTTCTCAGAGTGTATGTTAGTTAAAATTAGAGCCTGTAGAATAGAACAAAAATAATAAATAAAATCTTTGGAGAAGAAGAGAAGGGCAAGCCAGAACTGTTATTTCCTTTCCAGAGGCAGAAATAGCAATATATTTTTGTTAGAAACTTAAGTTTTCTGTTGTTTTTTACTAAGTGAGTATCTTCTTGTTTGGTAAATTACTTCCATGGCTAAAAATTTTGGTTATCTCTTTCTAGCCAATATCTATGATCAGAACTTAAATAGTATCTTTCCAACTGAAAGCACATTTTGTATAAGTAAGAAAAATGCCAGTAAAGTTTGCTACTGAACTTCCTTGCTAAATAAAATACCTGTCAAAGAGGCCATTCTTCAAGCTTCTACCTTATGGAAATGTGGGAATATTTTCAGTGGAGTAGTGTCAGGGAAGATTAATATCACGTAAAGTCTTGAAATTATATGCAGTTTTCTTATTGTCACTGTTCAAAGCTCCTAATACATTTAATAAAAAATAAAAAAAAAATAAAAAACACCCCCCCAACAACAATTAAGCTGAAGGAAAAAGGCAAGTGTTAAGATATTATGAGACAATCACAATTCTAAGCTATTATCGAGCATCAAACTGGCTATAGAGGCCTAAACAGCCTTTTCATAAGATAAACAGTTTAATGGTTATCAATGTAGAACTATGAGCCACTTTTATCTAGTCACTCAGCTCTTGGTGTATTTGACATCAACGTATTTGCATCTGTCATATTCTGTTGTCTTTGGGCTTCCAAATCTGATGTCTGGCCAAAAAAAAAAAAAAATGTCAGATGGTGAAAGTATATTTTGTTTTCTTCTGTAAAATAGCAATTTCTGAGAAAAGGGAAGACATGGTATGCCATCTCTGCCAACTAGTATAATGTTCACATTAGCAAAGATAGGCAGGATTCAGAGCTTAATTTAATGCAAAGTTTTATTTTCTGTGATTCGTATTTGGTAGGTGACAGTATTACTTGTTAGGATTCTAAAGATAAAATTTTACCATATTTTAAATCAAGAGAAATAATTTCTCAGATAATTGGAAAATGTTGGGTAGGCATTGCTTTGAAGTTGACAGTCTTAAAGAGGAATAGTGATTCCAAAATTGAGGGGGGAGGGTTCAGACTAAGGGGCCCTCAGGAGATTCCCCACATCTTCTGTGGATTGCCATGGATTTTTCGTGGACTGCCACTCACTCTTACCATTAGAATTTCAGGTGTAAATAGAGTGGCTTCTGCAGACCTGCTATGAGCCGTGCACTACAGCCTCAGTCCATGGGCTGCAAGTTGGCGTTTGGCATTGTACTAAAGCTCCCAATCTGTTCTGCCGTGGGGGGACAGGCTTCATGGCAAATCCTTAGTCCTCATGCTTGAGTCTACATATTTTCCATTCTGTTAAAGACACATCGATACTTTTTTGTAGAACATAATTTAATGTGAGATACGATATAGAAAAAAGCATTTGTAAAATTTAAATATACATTGTCAGCACTGAAAGTATTTCAGACATGTGAGTTCTAATTTAATTTTTATTACATATTCTCCCACCTTCCAGAAAAATCAAGCATTATTTTCACTGCATTTTCCATTAAAATGACCTTTTATTTGCCTGGAAATCTAGCCTAAATTTTATTCTGTTCCAAACACTTTTTCAGCAAAACTGACTGATGATTACCCATTTCTGGACTAGAGTTTATTATAAGAAAAACACAAATGAACCCTCTGTGGAATTTTCCAAGATTTCTGGAGAGGAAATGCAATATCCTCCTTGTAGCACAGAGTGAGCAGATGTAGTCCCAGCTTTGCTACTAACTTCCCTGTGTAACTTTGGACAAGTTGCTAAATATCTGCTGCCTGTTTTCGTGCTTTGTAAAAGAAGCTAATATTAACTTGCCACCCAATAATTTGACAAGTCTGAGGGAATGTTTGCAAAGTACTCTGAGAAAGTCAGATGGGAAATATTATGAAAGTCCAAACCTCTGCTAGCCAAAGCAGATATTTACAGTAGGTTCTTATTTTATGTAGTGAAATAAAAATGTTCAAGCGTACAACCAGATGAGACCAAGACTGATCTAAAATTAAATGCAGGAGGCATTTTTTGACCTTTCAACAGAAATTATATAAGCACTCCTAGGTTATAAATAGTCCTTTGTTTTCCTTCTCTTTGTCTAACACTCAGAAGAAACACAGGGTTAGTTGTTTGTTATGAAGAGATAGGGCAATGCTTTAGAGTGGAAACAATTGTTCACTGTTCTTTATTTATACAGTTCCTATAATGTCTGTAACTAGCATTTGTTGCTTTTCTTAGCACTTTTTTATCTTCAAAAAGCAACAGAAATAAACTTTCTAGTCATGAAAACGACAATATCAGAAGAAAACCAAAACACTCACGAGCCCACTTCAAGTGTGAAAGTTTCTTTCCTCTTTCCCAGCTTGATATGTGACTGAAGACCAGAAAAGCCAGTGCTTAACTATTGTTAAACTGGCACATAAACGCTCATACACTATTTCCTATTTTTATTATGAATCCTCAAAAATAGGACATGAAATGTGTCCACCTTTCAATGAAAGTATTTGTGCTAGCATTAAGGATAATGATATTGAATCCTTCATGGAATTATGTGTGTGTATGTATCTATGTCCCTATTTCCAAATATGCTTATTTTCAACAGTAGTCATTTCCTTGAACAATTGATAAATGCTTAACTAATAGCAATTTAATTTTGTGTTAAAAATAAAAAAGGTCTAACAACCAGAAACCACCTGAAACTTTATCCTGAAGTCAAGTAATTAGCATCAGTGACAAAGTAAAAGTATGAAAATGCCACTAACATTTTTCTTACTTTTTTGCATTCCTACTTTGTATAATTTCTCTGGGATTTGTACTATGAGAATAATGTCCTTCCCATTAAAATATATGTGAGGTAAATGGCTTTATTATTTGCCACTTTTTGTTCCACTTAAATTTTTAAGCACCTATCAAACATGTTCATTTGCTTCATAACTTATCACTGAGAGCAAGTACGATTCTCTATAGTAAATTGAAATAAATGGGCTGCAGCAAAGAGTATACAATTAGGCTTCCAGAACAAAAGGGACCTGGGATTAAAAAACAGCTATTGTGCAGTACTGTCAGTCTCTGTAGGCTACTTAAAAATGCACTGGAGACCAATAAGGCCTTGATTGCTTCAGAACTGAGGCTGAGTGTGGCCAGCCCTGCAACGACACCTCCGCTTTAACTCCCATTTCCCTTGGTTATGTCAAGAAAACATGGGATATTACGTATAATCCAGTCCTCAGAGTTTAAGAAAATTAAACACTTGGGATCAAATTCACACATAATGTAAGACCATGAACTTAATAGAATTATACCAAAGATTTTTTTTTTCCTCAGTGTTACATTATTTGGTGGCTCTTTTACATAGTGATTTGTGGATTTATGAAGCAGTTTAGTAGCCCTTACTATTTCACTCTGTAATGTCCAAAAATCTTTCTCCATCCTGTATTTCCAAAATCTGCAATGATTTAACATAATTAATTCAGTTTACTGAGGAAAGAAAGTTCTATCTCTGTGACAACTCCATTTTGAGTTTCTTTGCTGAAACTGTAAACAGGATGCCAACTAATGTCAAATTTGATACTGTTTTTATAAAGTGGGCACTTGTCCACAATGAGCTAGATTGAGGCCACTTACCTAACAGTATTCTCAGGGTAGGAATTTATCTTTAGATGCTATGGCTGATGCCAGATTTTTATTAATAATCATAGACTTTCTTTTGAAATAATAATAATAATAATAAAGACTGACTTCAGAATGTTTCCTGTAAATAAAGCCTGTGGGGCCAAGCTCTATAGGCTGGAATGATTATATTCTAGCATCATGAAGCAAAAAGCATAGCCAAGCCTGAGTGTGCCATACTTCTAGGTGCTGTCCTAACAGCAGAGGTGCTTATAGAGATGTTAGCAACACTCTCTCTTCATTTGAATGATTTTCTTGGCACAGCAGAGGAACAATATACGGGCCTTAAGCTTCTGCTGAAAACTGCAACATTTGCTAAGGAAAAGGAGAATTCTAAGATGAAGCATTGCCCTAGCTGAACTCTGTTCTTGCTTTGCTCAGAGGGTTGCTGGGTGGCCTCGAGTCTGCTATTTAACATCCTTGTGCCTGTTGTCACGTGTGTGAATGGAATACTCTCATACTGCTCTACCTTGGAGAAAGGCATGGGCCTCGGCTGGCTTGCATTTGAAGAGGAACTAAGATTTTTGCATTAACGGTGTTGTATAAATGCCATGTGCTGTAAACTTGTGAGCGAGCACTTCAGTACTAGGATGTGTGGTGTGGATGTGGTCCCCAAACAGCATTTGTGAAGATAAATGTTGTCTGCATGAATGGCGATGCAAAGCACCTGCTGTGGGCAGTAAATTACACCCCAGCCTACTGTTCTGGGGTTTGCGAGTGCCTGCGCTCCCGTGGACCTCAAATGAGGTGGAGAGAGCGTGTCCCCAAAGTACAGTCTTGCCGTCCCAGCCACACATCCATGTCGCCCTGCCCGGACTCTGCCTGCCTGTCCTTCACCCCACAGCCTGCCACAACCGTGCCGCACGTACCG